ATCTCCATTTCTTGGCGGTATACCCCCTATATCCCCCTTACTCATTACCATTTTCCTACCCATTGCCCGCGTTATGAGTGTGCATATTGATTTGACTTGCGTGCTGCAAGCACTTTTCTTTTTACCTCCGATGGCACTTCCACTTGGTAGGCCTCAAGTGCTAGATAACCTTGACTCTTCGGGGGAAACATTGATTATGCATACTTAAGGCCCTACTACCGATTGCCCTGATTTATTTGACGAACTATTAATAGTGCCACGAATTCCAGATACCAGACATTCACTGAGGCAATGCACTCGAGTGCCATTTGGCGATCTTCCTGGCTAAGTTTAGACAGTTGGCTCGGTCGTTCCCGCCCTGTGTAGTAGGAAAACATGCCTTTGGTATCCACACAGGGAGAAATGTTAAAAGGAAGTATCATTAAATTGACAGATATCTACAAATTTATGATACTTGCCGCCTCTTTACTTATTCAATCAGTTGGAAAGGCAGTCGTGGCACGCTTCTGGCCATCGGCAATGGCCACTTCGGAGGGTAATTAGCATTGTTGGGAGCCCAGGTGCTAAGCGGGAATTGCCCGGAACACGGGCTTAAACCTGACCTAGACGAAGACTGATGATGACAATCAGCTTTTCCCCCTGCCGAGATTCTTTAACTGTTACTTATGAGGTGTTCTGCGAAGAATCCGACGAGTTAATGACCCCACGCAGCTGCCGGAGAATCTTTTGTGTGGCTTTGAGCATGATTCACGGCAGTTTCTTTACTGGCGCCTTTGTTTCTTGAACCTTATGTCTTATGCTTCTGTTGCAGTGTCAACAAGATCAGCACGCTGTCGCCCTTCGAGGAATGCAACAAACTGCAGGAACTGTATCTGCGCAAGAACAACATCTCCGACATCAACGAGATCGCCTACCTGCAAAATCTTCCCAGTCTCAAGTATCTCTGGCTGGAGGAAAATCCCTGCTGCGAACGAGCTGGCCCCAAGTGAGTATAGGAAATCATTATTATCTATTATCAATGAGACGTGATATTCTGGCACAAATGCTTTAGCCTTTGCATACTTGGCGAACGATGAGTTATATATAAATAGTTTTTCATAAATTGAAATTGTTTTCTGTTCGAAATAATCACAAACTTTGCGTCTTAGTTTGACCGCTTTTGTGGTTAGCTCTGTGGAGAAGCCAGAAGCCCCTAATGATCGGTCTCACCTCTGTCTAACCACAATCACAGCTATCGAGCGGTCGTATTGCGCGCCCTGCCCTACCTGAAGAAGCTCGACAATGTTGAGGTCACGCAGGAGGAGGTGGACGAGGCGCTGCGTGGAGGCGGCGGCGCCGCACCAGAGGATGAGGTCTACGAGGATGCCTACCAGCAGCAGCAGCAGGCATCGCGAACATCGCCTCAGCAGATACCGCAGCAGCAGCAGCAACAGCAGCAGCAACACAGCTACCCGCAACACTCGCCGCCGCAGCAGCACCAATATCACCACCAGCAGCAGCATCACCAACCGCAGCAGCAGCAGCAGTCACAGCAGCAGCAGTCGCAGCAGCAGCGCCGCAGCTCCAGTCCCATGAAAGAGGTAACTGGCTCCCATTGTCTGGGTGGATTTTCCCACACCACGCCCTAGTTTAGCGGCTATAATCTATCGCCTTGGTAATGAACTCTGTAATCAACTCTTGCGCCCGTTTTGGTCTATTTCTGTTAACCCCGAACCACCTGCTCCCATTAACCCTGCATTTGCTAACAAGCCGCCCCAGTTGCCCAGTCCGCTGGTGAACAACAGCAGCGAAGGAAGCATCAGCCACAGTGCCAACGATCTTTACCAGGTGCAGGCGGCTCAGCCGCTGAAGAGCTCCCAACCACCCACGCCCACCAAGGTAATGGTTAGGTCAGCCAGGGAGTTGGGCGGAGGTTTAGAGCTCACTATTGAAAGTAACTTGCAAAGTAGATGTTTATTGCCTTAGTCAATATTTATTACATTAAAATCATTATTTTCTTTTTAATTTCCCTTAAATATGGTTGGCACTCGTCTGAAAAATTGTAATGTGCTTCTGCAGCAAGAACTCGTATTGTAGCGTCTCGTAGGATCTGAGATTAGTCTCTACCCAGTTCCGAAGCCATAACTCCCCACTAATCTTGTTTCGGCCTTTCCCCCAGGAACCCGTGCATCCGCCATCGCCCATGTATAACACCATAACCAAAGAGCAGCGCACCTCCTACCACCAGTTCGATGTAAGATCCACAGCCCCTCCACTGCCAGCAACTACTAAATAACACCATGTAACAGCCCCACGCATCCGACATGACAGAATTCAGCTTTCGTAGCCGGGCCCACTTTCGGGGCCCTATTTTCGAGGCCCTAATTTCGAGGTTCGAGGTTCGATGTTCGAGGGTGTGGGCCCGTCACACTCGAGTGGAGTGGGGGCTACTCTGCTGGGGTTAGGGATTGGGGCATAGCCATCACGCGATAGCCTCGGCATGGTTAAGGTTCTCTCGTTCTCCCGCCGTCTGTCCAAGGGGCCATTGTCTGCTTGCCGGCTTTTGTGGGTTAAGTCAATTGGTTGACTTTGGAACCGAGTGCAGAGAGATGGAAACTGGGGGACGAGCTATGATTGCCGAAGCAGCCCAAAGCAAGAGTCCAAAATGAACCATATAAAATAGGTCTTTATGTATTCATGCACGTGGGGAAAATATTTAACAAGATCGCTAGGAGTAAATGAAGCTCAACGAGATCGCAATGTAACATGACCTTACGTAAATAACTAGTAGGTTTACTCCCAAGTGGCGTTGCTTAAATACTTATTGTCTAATTGCATTTTAATTACACAATTTCTCGCTGTGCAAAGAAAGGGCTAGTCCCTCCGAAAAACCACTGAACCAGTGGAGAATTAGCCTTGCTGAACAATTTGTCATGTGTGGATTGCCCTGGGGACTGGGATTGGGGAATGGGGGATATCAACTCGAATCTAATGTTTCTCTTCTGCTGCTTTTCTCACCAACCATGCACTGATCCCAATTGCAACCCACAACCAAAACAACTAAAACAACCACAACCCGAAACCCAACTAAAATGCAAAACGCACCACTAACGCCCCACCAATGGACTCGACGAGCAGCGCTCGCCGGGATCCGACCAGGAGAGTAGTTCGCACACGTACAGGGAGGTGCGGCCCACGCCGCTCCCGCCCAGCATTTCGGCGCACTCGATGAAGGTAAGAGACCGGCCAGCGACTATGGTGTTGCAGGAAAGGAACCAAGGCACACGAGGATGATGACACTATCTAATTGTGGTATTCCCGTACAGGAATACTATCAGTCGGACAGACCTGCCTACCCGGCGCACTACCGCCACAGCCAGACGGACCTCACCGAGTGGGAGGAGCACCAGCAGGCGCCCCAGGTGCACCACAATCCCTACGGCAGCCAGATGCAGTTGCACCACCCGCAGCGGCGCTCTGCGGGACCGGAGACGACGGCCTACCGGAACGGCAGTGCTAGGGAGAACGGCGGCGAATGGGATCCGGAGGACAGGCCCAGGGCGAGGTGAGGTCATCGACCAGGTTATTTGGTGGTCGTGCCAATTAGTTTATCGCGTTCTCCGTTTATTTTATTAAGAGTAAACAGCGCGACATATCACTGATAGCCAGGCAGCTTGTGTTTATTTTAAATGGCTACTTCTTTTATTTTTAAATGGGTTAAAAGCGCGCTTTTTGCCCGGAGCTTAAACAAATAACCTGAATGCATACAGTTTTTAATGAAAATCGACTATTTTATGTATGTAGTTTGCACAAAGTGAAACATGCGTTCCGAAAACTGCAGAAATATTGTGTGCATGTAGAATAATTGGCTTATTTGCAAATTAAAGCTAAGCGATCGCTTAGCAGTTGATATATAATTGTCTTAATTGAATTACTAACTTATAAATACACATTTTTAGACGTTCCGAGGGAAGATATAGTGACTCGACCACGACGTTGTCGGCCTCTGTGATGAATCACTATGCCGGCTACCATCGCAGACCCGTAAATAGGGTGAGTGTATAGCCTGAGAGACCATTGAAAGGGCCGATTATTAACTGAATCACATCCCGCTTTCGCAGAACTCGAATATTCTCTCCGCCACCCTCTGTTTGGTGAAGGAGTTGGACTACGCCAGTCTGGAGGTTCTGGAGCACGCTGTGCGATGTCGCATCGATGAGCTGGCGGGCGAATGATGAAGACGACTCTCTAATCGCATGTCGATTAGCTAATCCAGCGCCTACAGGGGTGCTACAAATACAAATGACCAGGAAAAAGCAACACACTTAAAAGACAAGAGGAGCAGCTGGTGCTGCGAGGGGAGAAGGAAAAACTGATATTATACTAACGTCTTAAGCAACAAATAACGAATGCAAATCAGATACTTAACGAGGATAACGATTCATACTTGCCAATTGTAAACTGTCATAGTGTAACTAGCAACTTTTGTAAGCATTTTGTCATGTAACGAACTTTGCTAATGGAATCAGAAAACGAAACAGTAAGCTAGGACATAATCGCCAATGGAAGTATATATTGTCCCGATTGATTTCCGCCTATTGATCCCAGATCCCGTTCAGTTGATCCCCGATCGAGAGCACAGACCACAAAAACTAGAATTCTTTTGTACTTAACTCGCGAAGATCGACTAACGAACTAATATCGCCCAAGGCGAAGAAGCACAATGTATCTTCCTTGTTTCTTTGTAAGATTAGTTGAAATTATACTCTGACTTTGTTAAATATTTGTACGCGAAAGCAATTAACGCTAAACTCTAATTTATTTACCTATAATGCAATGAACACGTCCAGTTTATGTTTGCCGTTCTCTATTTAACGATTACGTTGGAAACTATTATTATAAAAATAAACAAATTAACAATAGCTGGGAGTGTATTACGTCTTTGATGAAATGTCGGCATTACGGCCTATTTTAATGATTATTCAGCATACCTATTATAATTCCTCATATCAGACAAGTACCTAACCAGCGAATGGAACACTGTTGGAGTTCTGGGCCAGGTGCAGAAGGATCCAATCTCGGAACATTTGCACATTGGTATAGACCGCTGGAACGTTTTCCTGTCGACAACCGATGCCCCAGTTAACGATGCTAGTTTGCTCATAGCGAGATGGGTCCGTCTCCATGGGGCAGAAAAGTGCGGATCCTCCGTCGCCGAAGCAGTCACCCGCATCCATCTCGCCGCCGGCGCATATTAGACTAGCAGGAAGCTCAAAACTGAACGGACTGAACTTTGTCTACCTTCACGTTGGCCAGCAAGCCATTTGGATTGCTCGGGCCGCAAACTTGATTTGGGTCTGAATGTAGATTGTCCGTGGGTAAGATTCCGCTGAGTGTCGCTGGTGCCTACAAATTGTTTAAATAAATTGAAATCAAATATTGTTCAAATATTAATTAATTATACCTCTGCATCATATTGCCCAGTCACACTAAACCACGAGAAAACAAAGAGGAAAGTATTTATTGTCCAGTTCTTAAGCATGGTTAGCTTGAGTTGACAAATTCGACTGAAGCTGCATCGCTTTTTTAAATTCATCGGAGACCATGATTATCAGTCACCGTGGGTACTATATAAAATGTACTATTTGCATGTAATAATAAACGTATGCCTGAAATTACAATAACAAATTCATTGTACTATACTACAACAAACTGTTCCACATTTGTATTTAAAATAATTGTATAGATGACAAAAGAAAGAGCGCGCCCAAATTTGAAATACTGCTTCAAGCAGTGCAAGCGGTTTTTTGCGGTTAATGGTGTGAAACGGTTCTACAAGTTTAACTGGTAAAGCAGTGCATTCAAAGTATATGAAGTGAAATTCTCGTTATGAAAGTTGAATGATAAGTCAGTGCTATTATTTATATAAAGGTAATAAAATAAAAAAGAAGTGATTATTCCTTGAACCTCTTATCCAACCCAATGAAACACAGTTTATTTTTGTTTTTTTGTTTAGAGGGGCTTTACAACATTTAACGCATATAAGATAATAATTGCCTTTATTTGGTTGTGTAGTTGCTGTTGTGGTTATCTGTTGTGAAATTGCCTTTAAATCTATTTTTCTGTGTTATTTTGACCATTGCTCCAGACATTACCGACTAAGATAATGCCCGGCCATAGGAAAAATTAAAAAAAACGAAACTGCGAAACGGCATAATCGGTTCGAAACGGTTTTCGACTCGGTATTCGTAATTGATGATGATGTGTCTGTTGGTTATAAATATATATTATGGATTATGGATATTATTCCGGCATAATCCGTGTGATCGGTTCGTTAGCCGCTGTATTCATGGCAGAAACGCAACGCCTAACACATATACATATACATAAATGTAAAGTGCATTTCGTATATTAATTACTGAGTGATTAACTTGCTACACATCGATATACATACTGAAGCCGCATTAGGTTATCAATGAATGTGCTCTGAAAATTGCCTTATAACTTTGGTGCAATACAATATTATTTAATTATTTTTCATATACCTTGATAAGTGCATGGTTAATATTAGCAATAGTACTGGTATATAGACACTGAGTATGCGAACTTCCTTGCCTGCTGTTCTCCTCCTAAGTTATAGTTAATTATTGTCAGTCACAGCGTCGCGTTTGCCACAACAACGTGTGCTTGTATTGACTATATCTTCGAGTGTGAATCGAAAATCTCATTATTATTATATAGAATATCTTATTAACTAGTTGGCAGCTGGCCGATCTTGTTGCCGCTGCCGCAACGCATGTCTTCCAGAATGCGATTTGTTTAAATTGTCTTCCATTTCAATGCAATGCGAAAAAATGTCTTCCAAACACACAGATAATATGCATACAATACATCGTATGCGATTATTTATGCTGAACAATATGACACCTAGATATAATGGTAACTATGGTTTACAGCTTTATGTATATATATATATTTATATATATATAATATACGGGTCTGGTAGATCCAGTATAGCCCGTCTGAGTTTCTGATTTGCAATCGCAACTCATTGTGTGGATATATATAGACCAATTACATTTGTTATTCGTTAGTAAGTACAAGTATATTTTATAAATGTTGTCTTTATGTTTAAGGGCCGTAACCAACACTAAACTCTTGGTTGGCACTTTGGCCTAATTGCGACACTCCTAATTGATGCTGATTTGAAATATCTCAATGCTTAGATTCGCCAATAACTTGTAAGCCAAAACAAAGGAAATTCTTTTGATACCAACTTGTTTTTGCCTCTTGGTAAATTGATATGCTGATTCCATCGAACCAAGGTGTATTCCAAATAAATGTGATTGGGGTTTTTGATTTTGGGTAGTGTTTACCGCACGATATGTTGTGTACATTGATATTAATTGGTTGTTCTTCTTGTGTCTCCTCAGTCCAATTCCTTGACTAATCACCTAAATACGGGTTGTGTCCGTCCGGAGGGCTTTGGACTCCCTTGGGAGGGGATCCTCATCCTCCGAGGCGGCGCACTGGAAGCCCTGCGTGATTCTGCTGTTTCCGAGTTGGGGGTATAGTCCCCCTTGCTTACTCTATAGCTTTCTATAGTTAGTTTTAATTGAAATTAGTTACAAATTAATTGATTCGCATAGGGAATTTTTGCTTGCTCCTCCTTCTCGTATATTCTTCTCTATGTATTATTTATATTGAATTGTTTTTTTTTTTTTGATTTTCTATAGTTTCTTTTTTTAGTTTTTACAGTATTTAACTAAACTTTCGTAACAAGTTTTCCGATATAGATTGTATATGGGAGATACTTTTTCATGACAACAATAGCACTAACTGAAGTTCAAAAACGAAGAACAACAAAACATCAGATAATTCTCGATCCATATATATGGGTTTGTGATTTAGCGCCTCCATCGGGAGCGATCCCCTCAGGAAGGTGGGGATCGCTCAGCTGAAGAACGGCGATAAATCACAGTTGCACAAAGACCCGCCATCGCCAGTCTTGCAGAGCACCTTGCACATTTCGTCCCAGTCCGGAGCCGGAGTGGTCGTATCCGTATCCGACGCGGCTGCCACGGGAACTGCGGACCCTATTGCCACGTCGACCGATCTCCGTACTGCATTCTCCGCGGCTCTGGAACCGTGTGTTGGATCGCCCAGCACTCCACTGGCCTTCTCCTCGTTCTTTCGAACCTGCTCCTTCTCCTCCTTCTCCTTCGCCTCCTTCATCCTGCGCACCTCCTGCTGGCAGGGACTGCATCCGGGCAGGGAGCGACCCTTCTGACTACAAAAGCTCGAGCAGATCAAGTCGCCCGCTTCACCTGGAAGTTGTTATGTGGAATCGATTAGAATGTTCATTTTCAGAATGGTACTCTTGAAACTCAATGAAATGGAACATTTGTACATGTAATGCCTAGCAAAGTTCTATTGATAGAAAAGTAGGTGAGGCGAACTATTATCATTTGAATTTAACATTTTATCTACAGTTTTGATATCGTATTTGCCACTTACCCCTAGGCAGTCCACACAGTTGCCGGCACTTGGCCACATCTGACTCCTGTCTCAGGATCGTGTTTCTGGCCACATCAGGCGTTGGAGCAACGCCCAGGCCAGCTCTGCAAGGATCAACCATGAAATGCTGATTAAATTTCAATGCGGAATAGATTCAAAAAATATTTAAGCGGAGCTGGACCGAATATGACAAAGTCATGTTACATGAACTAGATTTTAGGATCTTGAAGAATATCGATTTCATCGACTTGCTTTTTAAGCAGTATTGAACACCAACTTAAATAGGAAATAAAAAAGTATATTTTAAATATTAAAGCGTTACAAAACTTTCAAGACAAATATTCCTTGCTTTTAGTATATTATTGTAAGATTGTCAAATATTTTTATTTAACAATAGCCCGCTACTTAAGCTTTATTTTCAAAGTTATGCACACGAACACAGTACTTCAGGCCACCTCGAGTACCATTTATACTTAACATATTTGGCACTTGACAAATAAAAACAGCACACACGCCATAATAGCCGCATATCACAGATATAGCCACCGATCAGGAATGCGGATTATGTTTTCCTGACAAACGTGATTAGGGAAAACCACGATAGCCCCACTTGAAAAGCCGACGCAACTCGCAAATGATTTTCGAAGGCCATCGACACGCGCATTTTGCTTGGTAAAGGTGTTGTTATTATTATCATTATTAGTTCGCACTTCTTTGGGGAAAGCTGCACTTGTCAAACAAACACCTGAGTCACTTAGCTCTAAGGCACCTTACTGTCAGTAATTCAAAGAGTTTGGGATTGCTGTTTATCCGACACTTACCCGCAGAGCTCTTTACACAGCAAACTCCAATCCTGAACTGCGCTGATGGTTTGGACGTCTTCAAGGATTTTGGCTGCTGAATGCGATGCCAGAGCAGCATCCCCCAAAGTCTCGTCCTCCAGGACGGCTGATGACGTCACAGCCGGCGCCTGCGCAGCCAGGATAAGGATTGCAGCCAATGGGAGGCCGAAGTGTAATCCACATCCCCCCATTTTACCCTGTCGCTTTTCCACACGCTCTCCCATCGCTGGGCTGCAAGGAGATGAAAGAGATGGGCAGATTACAGGACTGGGGAATGGGTGTGCCCGGCTGGCTTCGGCTGGTTTGGGGCGTATTATCCTCGGGGGGACTGGGCCAAAATGGGGACTGTTTGGCCCCGTACAATAGGAGCAATTGTGCTCGAAATGCAATTATCGCGCTCTCAAAAATAGGCAGCAAAAAGCAGCCTTTGGGGCCTAATCCCTACACCATTGTTATCCCGAGCATTTGCTATCCGAGTATCATATGCTTGATTTGCCAAACCGAAAGGGGTTATGCAATCGCCTGTCTCTCGAACTGAACTGCACTGAACTGAGGCTTCCACCTGGTATCCTGGTATCCTGGCATTCTGGCGTTCTGGCATCCTGACAACGCTTTTGCAATGGGATTCCCGTCTAAAATACCTCACAAAAATGCCTTAGCTAACCAACCTGCTGGAATCTTATTTTGTCAGCGTAATGACAGGCTAAGCAGTCGAAATTCCCAAACTCCCATTTATTTTCCACTGGCACCGAAAAATGCTTATGGCCCCCGGGCGCAGAGCATTCCCTGGTCCTCTGGCTCTGGTGCTTGTGGCTCGCAGTTGAGAGTCGAGTGCCAAAGAGGACGCTTCGCCCAGGCCAGAAACTCCCGGTCTGAATTAGCCGCCCGAGACTTGCAGCCCCAGGCCTGGCTCCATCCGCATCCGTGGGTGGCACTTGACTCCAAACATTTTCGCCTATCTGGGTTACAGGGCCTACTTGCGCTACGTGCAATCACAGCCAGGTGAGCATCCTATTTTCTGGTCGAGAGCTCGTTTCATTGTTCAATTCCATTCGCTAGCTGTGCCCTTTCAACGGGCATCGATCCAGTTTGACTATTCCTACAGATGCACTTAATATTTTGGGTGGCATTAATAATAAAGAATGTTTATAATGTAGTTAAGTTTAAATATTTTATGACTGCATATTTTTATTTTTCGATATTAATTATTCTACTCCAAGAAAAATCCCTTCAGCTTTCTAGTTTGATAAATGTTTGATTAAAATCAAAAGCATCTTTCTTCAAAGCTTTTATATTTATAGTAAGATTCTCCTTCAGTTCAACATTTATGTTACAACAATCAGCTCAACCATTTGATAGAGTATAACTTGCAGACTTGCTTGTATGGCAGCCATTATGTTCGAGAGTATTTTAAACATCACTCTTAAAATGGCTTAAACCCATAATCCTTTTGTTGTCCATGTCTGCTGCTGTTTCTGTTTCTGTTTCCGTTTCCTGTTACAACTTACTGTGCTTTTCCAAAGTTTGACTCAATTAAATCCGATTGTTCGTGGCACCTGCTCCGCTCGAAATGCTTAAGCTCTTAACTCGACAGGATTTATATAAAGCTGTCCGCTCCAAATGGTAGCAGTTGTTCAACTGAGCCTCTGGCCCAAACTAAAATCCCACTTACTAATAATAAATGTTTTTGATGGCCTTATCTGCCGGTGTCATAGATTCAAGTGCGAATCAGAGGATAGACTATCGCGGATTTCCATCGCCATACACTCGTTTCCCCCTTTTAGTCTGGTCTGGTGGCCATATATCTGCGATAAGTGCAGACAGAGTGCCTAATTATTATTGGTAGCACATGCCATTGAAGTGCCTTCCAGATAGCAGCCATGTTTAGTGGATCTAAATACCATGAGCTGTTTTTGTATCAGAAATATTTGTCTGACACTTGTGATGGATGGGTTCTGCTAAAGGGTTTCTCAGTTTGTTTAGTTTGGTTAAGGGTGCAAGTCCATATCAAATTGTCACGTGATTTTAGGTAGATTTACCGAGATTCTACTAAGATTTGATATAAAATGTATGTTTAATTTCAAAGTTTCAGTTGAATTTAGCTTTCTTTCAAGGAAGCAATTACCAATTAACAATTAAAAAGCTCTGATGAAAGTCCTTTTCCACAGTTGTTGCCCCATCAAAAGAAACGAGTTCCTTGTGCAATTATGGCTTTATAGACTTTCAGCAACTGTCGTTGGACTTCTGCTATGAAACTCCAAGCAAATGCGACAAAGTAATGTAGTACGATTTTTGAGAATGTTTGGAAAGTCATGTTGAACAAGTGTCGACTTCATTTTGCCAATATTGCAAGATAGACATTCAATAAAAAGATGGATCACAGGGACTTGCAAGGGAGTTATTGCCACTGTAATGGCCTTCTTAAGTTGCAATCAGTTACATCGAAAGACACTTTTCAAGTGCCAGAGCCTTCGCAACGAATATGCTGACGCAGTGGATCCTGCCCAAGGAGCCAAGGAGCAGGAGCAGCGGCAGGACCAAGTGCCAAGTGTGGTAACATCCTTCGCCAGCTGCTCCGTGTGTCAGATAAGTGTGGGAGAAACTCTTTTGCGGCAAGTATTCGTAGTGTTCTCGTTGTCTAAGCTTCTCCAGTTTGATGGACGTCCTTTTGGTCCTGCTGCTCCTGGGGTCCTTTTCCAAGTTGCATAACATGGCTATACATGTTCTCTGGCCCTCAAAAGTATGCTATGAAACGCGTTCTATTGGAAATGATGCAATTTCACTTGGAGATACATATCTTTTTTGCATAGCCGCAGTGGGCGGGCGGCCTAGCTTTGACCCAAATTTCGTTTTTGTTCTATATACCAGGATGTTATGTGTTTTGGCTCCTATATCTAAGGGTACATATGTGCGAGAAATGAAAGTAATTATGGTGGTTTTTTTCCATTCGGCAGCAAACTCTCATAAAAAGTTGTGGGTCATTGTAAATGTCAGAAACAGTGGCAAAATTAGTTTGTTAATTAGCTTTTCATTTGGTCGCCCCCTCACAATCTATGTTTTCCATTCCTTTTATACCGTTTTTTATTTCTTTAGTATTCACGAGGCGTGCGCATACATTTCATGTGTATCTGTTGGATACTTTGGGGCGCGCATGGCCGAAGCTCCGCCCACGCAAAATGGCCTTAACAAAGATGGTTTCCGAAAAATCAATGACGTCACCCAGAGAATTTCCCGCACTTTCCTCAGCCCCACTGTTGTTGTCGTTGTCGTTGTCGTTGAAGGTTATGCAAGAGATTGAGGAGTAGTATATAGGTACGCGTGTAGTGGTATATGGGCAGCCATTTTTTGGATACGAAAAGCTTCGTAGGCAACTCAGGCGGATGCTGCTGCTCATAGCTCCGCAGATCGTCAGCGAGTGTAGGCTGCTCAGTTCCCTAAGTATCCCAACCAAAAGTGAAAGTTGCCCGCAATACCTGAGAAGATATATACCTTGAAAATCCAATAATTCCCAGTCCGTTTAATCAGTGAGTTGTAGCTCCGATTCGCGAGTGATTTTCAGTGTTTTGTTGCTAGGAAAAAGGAACTCTGTAAGTTGTCGTTGCTTTAGACCACAAGTAGTAAATCGCAGATCCATCTCAGAGATACATTTCGATACATTTCGTACTCGCACATTCCTCTAGCTATATCTTTTCGTAAGCCTCGTCGGTGATTCGTCGCCCCCGCAGACAGTCAAAGTGAATTACCTAAAGCAGTATATCGACGATATCCGCAGGATTATCGGTAAGACTCCCAGACGATTTTGTTGCATAAGTTTCGCACAGTCCAAGGTTTTCGCCATTAATTGCAGCTGTCGCGCTGTCTGTATCCCCATGTAAATCAAGCTTATATACATATATAGGTGTATATATATTTATATACTTACGTTCCGTCGCAGGAAATTGGCTTAACACTCACTGCGCAATAGCAGATGGCGCCAAAAGTGAAAAGGAGGGGTCCTGAAATCCGTGTACATATATATGGCATATACAAGATATTTGCCTCCCACTTGGAGCTTGCCCTTCAGTTGTCCTTGTGCAAACAGCCCCTCCTCATTCTCCAAACGCCCCATTCCATTTCCACTCTGTTTATTTACACGCCCATTGCATTTTCGCACCATTTGTTTGTTTGGCTTGGTTATGCAATTTGAGTGTGGGCTGTTGGAAAATGGGGGTTTTCGAGTAGCAAGGACTTATGTAACACCTGCCCCGAGGACCCTCTGTCCTCGGTCGATTGCATAACATTGACTCACTTCATTTGGCCGAGCTCCATTTTTCCTTATCTTGCACAGTCTGCACTTGCGACTCCCCACAATAATTCCTCCCCGTTTTTCACTTTTTATCGTTGCAGAGGAGAAAATGTCGCTGAATCCGAATGGGTATAAACTGTCCGAGAGGACGGGCAAACTGACGGCATATGGTGAGTATCTTTTTGAACAACATTTAAAATAGCATACAGTTTCCATAAACCGAACCGTTTCGGGAATATGAAGTAAAAATGGATAGGTTGCCTTTTGGTCTATCGAAAAATCATTTTGAATTTTTGAATTTTTGAATTGTTGAGTTTCTACAAATAAAAATAAAAAACAACTTTATCAAAAAGTTTTTATGTTGTATTTCACTCATTTTCATTGTTAATTGATATCAAATAACCTTGGCTCCTTGCATTATCCTTGTTTACTGCTTAAGGAATAATATATTCTCAAGTTTTAGAGACTATACTATGACCGGATGTAGTTGAAATTTGTTTTAAAAATTTAATTTTACAATGTAATATAAGATTTCTAGATAATTTGATTTAATAAAAGTATTTTGGTTTTAAAATACCGCAAAAATAAAATTAAAAATCTAGAGAGAACAATTGGAGTTCCCAACTGTCAGTTACTAAAGACTTTGCTTGGGAGTTTGAGGGAGAATCTATGAGAAAATGGACGAAACGTCTAATTTTTTATAGTAGCTTTACCCCTTTGCTATACATTGTATCTGCAGTCTTTTCTCCATAAGTAATTAATATTCAATCGAGCTACACGCTGTCATAACCATAAATTGCGAGAAAACAAGGGCTTAGAGCTGGCCGAGAGCAAGAATTTATTTTCGAATTGTGCAACTCCAACCTGTCACATTCCGGCACAAGAAACATATTTTGCGAGCGTGTCCGAGGGGCGATTACTTCGCCTTGGTAATAATCCTGGCAAACATTGGTCCTACGCATAACTGCACTCGAATCGCATCGCATTTGGCTGGGCAAATAATAAACGAGTGTTAAACTGACACTGCCAGGGACCGGGAACAGAAAATGGGCAACTGGCTGCTGTTTAAGGACATGGACAAGCGGTGGGCTGTCCAGGACACTCGTGTCCTTGATAAATGGCCCCGCACTGGAAGCTCCTTGTGTTTCGTGTGCGTTTGCCGCCTCTTGTGAAGCGTGAAACTGGCGACTGTTGCCCTGTAACAGATTTCTGCTCGGCAAATACGCAACAAACAGACAGAACAGAACAGAAAGTCAAACAATCCACCACCATTCGATGTATGTGGCACGAGGACCAGAAAGGTGGCAGGACTCTCCCCGAGGCGGCAGACGCGTGCCGCAGATTGAAAGGCCAACAAACATAAACCGTTTAGTCACAGGATATTGCTCACGCTCGATGCCAGGACTCTCGTGTGTGGCGGCTGTGCGCAATGCCTTCCAAGGACTCGAAGGATTCTGGGCGCAGAATTCTGGACTCGGCTGGGTTGAACGTCTGCCTCTGACAGTGAGCACCCTGAGCACTGAAGCAGTCGAGCACATTAAATTTTATTTAACTTCTTGGCCGTAAAGTCGAGGAATTTTTCAAATTGCCACAATTTGTCGCACCACCTCCCCAGCGAAAATGGTAATCATGCGCAACGTTAAGTTTGCAATTGATTTCCAGCTGGCTTCTAATGGAGCTGCTCCCATTTGCTCGGTGGCTTAGTGGCCACTGCTGATGCTTAAGCAAAAGCCCCAGTAATTAATTGCAGCCACCGCAGAGGGACGAAGGCAAGGACACTAAAGCCAAGGATATGTACAGCCCACAAGGGTGTTTCGTCCAAATCCTGCTAGTTTAAAATAATCTCCGCTGATGTAACGCGTTTTCATGCCGGACTGGCGGTAAAATTAAACAAAATTGTAATTGAAAGCCATGAAAATTACACTCTTAATGTATATTAATAAACAAAATTGAGATACAAAGTTTATACATTACTGAAAACGGTTTATTGTACTATATATAGGTAATTTTTTATGTAATGGAAGAATACAAAATATAAATATTTTTTAAAATGTGCAAAAAATTAAAACTTAGCAAAGAACTCACTTCTAGCACAAAATAACATTTTCTAGTTTGGCCCATATATATGACAGGATTTTTAATATGAAATCGGTTGATCAATCCCAGTTTTCTCAGTGAAAATAAATTTTTACAAAAATAATTGAAATCTCATCTTGCCCCGGAGGATTTCCGACTTAACTTACCTTCAAGCTAGTCATCTCTTTTTACGACTGCGCCAGCCCACAAATCATTGTAATAATAATATCCATATATCACGATAAGAGAGGAAAACCATTTTTCCTGTCAGCAGCGGGCACGCTTTTCATATATACCGATAAGAAATCCTCATTCGGTTTTTTCCGCACCCTCTTTTTATGCCACTGTTGTTTTTCCTATCCAGATCTCATGCCCACCACAGTGACCGCTGGCCCGGAGACACGGGAGTTCCTGCTGAAGGTAATCGACGTGCTTCTGGACTTTGTGAAGGCCACTAACGACCGCAATGAGAAGGTCCTGGACTTCCACCATCCCGAGGACATGAAGCGTCTGCTCGATCTGGATGTTCCCGATCGCGCCTTGCCGCTGCAGCAGCTCATCGAAGACTGCGCCACCACACTGAAGTACCAAGTCAAGACGGGTAAGTCACGGATCTATAACCATTATTACCATCCTTACCAATATATGCAAAATGTATAACTTGAACTGGAACCCAAATGGATTCCCTGACTTCCAGAGCTGCGACGAATATTCAAAGGTGATCTGATCTAAGCTGGCTGATTTCCTTATCATCACCTTGTGAAGTTTGCTCAGCGGGGATTAATCAAATTTGTCCCTGCTTAGCATATGCTCTTTGTCCGTGGAATGTGATTTACTCTTTTAAGGACGAGGGCAGGACGCGTGCCTCTGGACCTTGCGGTCGTATTAGGGCACAAAGTGTGCAGCCTTCTAGATAAGCACATTAGCATATTGATGGCACTCGGGGAGATACTCGTCCTGCCGGCAGGAAGCAGACAGCATCCAGCATCCAGCAGACAATGCCATTTTATGGCCCATTGAGCTGCGGCCCCGGCTTGTTTACACCTTTCAAAAACACTCTCCTCGGGGTCCGTAGTCTGTAATCCCCGCGATGCAGAGCCACTCGGCCATCAATCATAAATCGGGCAAAGGGTTCATTGTGGGCGCGGCTTTAGCAGCCAAAAGTCATTCGCACGTTTCACTTTTAACTTTTTCATACCCACTAGTCGATGATGAAGGGGATATTGGGGAGCACAAACAATACTCATAATGCCAACACATATATGGTGAGCCTTTGACTTGGGAGCTAATATTTCTACCTGCTATTCATGTCAAGAGGCAGTTTTACTCTAAGACTTAAAATAATATATACATTGTGGTACCCTTTAAATACATAGATAATGAAAGGATGCTAGTACTTCGAACGTAAGACTTGATTGGTCAATTGAGCTCCTAACATAATTTCGAAATTCTATGGTATCCTCAGGTCGAGAGCTTGTGCCATAGTTTGCGCCAGCTTGTTTTGAATGTCCTTGCTGATTTGATTTCATTGAAAATTAATGCGAGAGGCAGTCGGTCCCCAGTCGAGCGGCGCTGTCTTTGTCCTTCGATGTTTGTGCAGTCCTCGCACGTGACCGCAATTGTGTTTGGAGTATCGATAATAAGCGTATTTACTCAAGCCAACCCACACCGCCCACACCACCCAAAACACCCACTCCACCCCTTGTGGAAGCACCGCCCCCAACCCCCGGAAACTGCGGCCTTGTCTCGGAAGCAGGCGTCGCTTCCCTGATTTTCCTCGCAGGAAATGAGGCTGCTGCTGTTTAGCCTGCTGCTCCCATTTGGCTCGCCGAAAATTGAATTAAAACTCTACGCAATCAAGGCTGCAACTGAATAAGCTCAGATTGCATGGGAAACTTTTGGGAAAGAAAAATAAACGTAATTAGGATGCGTAGTCCCATGGAATAGGAGTATGTTCAAGTTTGGCCTAAGTTTGCATTAGTTTCTCGCTCATTACGCTTAGGAAGTGAGCTATTGTTACTGTAAAGTTTTAATGTAATAAGTTTCTAATAAAGGGGAATTAGCTTGCAATTAAAATTGCAGCCTAAAATAGTTTCTCACTTACAAAAAAGTCAACAGCATCAAACAGCTAATTTTTTAGTGCTAACTTGTAATGAAAGATATAAACCATAGAGAAACAAAATAAGCATTTTGATTTTAAACACAGCAGCCAATGTATGCTTCTCCAAAAAAGATAGCACTGTCAATTATTTTTCGTAGAGCCAGCTTTCCCCCTGCAGACCCGATAAGAGTCCCATTTATGATCCTTAATCTCACATAATGCGCGCCCTGTCAAACGGGCAACCTGATACGAAGGAAACGACTTCTCTTCCTTCTCCGAGGACTCCATAAAAACGAGGGGAGCTTTAATCAAAATCCGTTGTTATTTTCTGACTCGCTGCATTCCTGATCCTTTGATGCGAATGAATGGCTGCTGGGCGAGGGTGAATCCGCTCGATTCGAGGATTCGAGTCCTTCCAGCGAGCATATCCTGGCCACATGCGCAAATTGAAATGTTTGGATGCCAACGCTCTGTCAGTTTACACATGGGGAAATTAACAAAAAAACTGATAAATTGGGAAATCAGTAAACTGGAAATTTACTATTTAAACTGCGTTCTTTAGATTTTTGTTTAGTAATATGATAATATTATTTTATATTAAGTAAGCATTTGATTATGCTTAATGTGTGCTTTTGGTTTGTGACAATTTTTATTTTTATTCCTATTACATTATGGACAAGCATTTTGTCTAAGTGTACGTATTTTATTTCTGTGGGCGGATTTAGCCTTGTGGGCAATGGGATTTTAATCACACGACTTATGGCACTCAAGATGTGAACTGACAGACGCCGAAGGGTTCAAACTGGAATATAGAGGAGCAGGGTACAAATCCGGCAGTTGGACAGCTTCCGGATGGTGACTGAAAGCATTTTGTGATTCTTCGTGGGAGTTTTGCCCCACTCTCCACATATTTCACCCCAAAATCGAAGCTCTGCAAGTCGCAATTAGCTACAATAAATGAGCAATTTATAGAGCTCACAGGGAGCGGGGGCTTGAGGATTACAGGGCCAAACTTGTTGAGCCGGGCACACGGATTTCGAGCAGACTATCCGCTATTGATTCACCAGGACCTTGTACCGTCTGCCCTTGAACATATGCACTTCCGGCAGTCTATTCCTATATACATTCTTCTTCCTTTCGGGGCCAGTCAGCCGTGTTTTGGCCCGGCCTTTGTTTCACTTGCCACTGGCCTCGAATATATTTTTAATAAAACAAAAAACAGCAAACATTGGGTGGATGGGTGGCTGATGGGGCGATGGGTGAAGCAGGCAGAGCTGCCAGGCACATCTGCTGTCAGCTTAGAATCACTCGGTTCTCCGGAGAAGCGAGAAAAGTCCCGGAGACTTTGAGAGACAGAGCGACAGCCGTGGCTAAATGGAAAGCATTTTCAGCTACATTAGGCAGGCACATACAAAGTGTCAAATGTGTTGCTTTCGAAAATATTAATTAAAGATTGGAATTCTACCCAGACTTTAAAAATAAAAGAATAAATGAATGTTTCAGGATAAGATGTATATTACGGATTGTTATATTAGAACCATTATTGACAGTTAAAATTGTATTTGAAAATTTTCAGGACATCCCCACTTCTTCAACCAGTTGTCCAACGGTCTGGACCTGATCTCCATGGCAGGAGAGTGGCTGACGGCCACGGCCAACACCAACATGTTCACCTATGAGATTGCGCCAGTTTTCATCCTGATGGAGAATGTGGTGCTGACCAAGATGCGTGAGATTATTGGCTGGTCGGGTGGCGATTCCATTCTGGCCCCCGGAGGTTCCATCTCCAATCTGTATGCCTTCCTGGCTGCGCGACACAAGATGTTCCCGAACTACAAGGAGCACGGCTCGGTGGGATTGCCGGGTACACTGGTGATGTTCACCTCGGATCAGTGTCATTACTCGATCAAATCATGTGCCGCCGTTTGTGGACTGGGCACCGATCACTGCATTGTGGTGCCCTCGGATGAGCACGGCAAGATGATCACCTCGGAGCTGGAGCGACTGATCCTGGAGCGCAAGGCCAAGGGCGACATCCCCTTCTTCGTGAACGCCACTGCCGGCACCACTGTGCTGGGAGCCTTCGATGATATCAACACGATTGCAGATATCTGCCAGAAGTACAACTGCTGGATGCACATCGATGTAAGTAAAAACAAGATAGAATGCAATAGTCGAGTCGGGTAGACTATCAGATACCCGTTACTCAACTAGTGGAAGTGCAAACGTGAAATTTTAATATTTTCTGGACGCGTTTCCTTCTGCCTGTTACATACTTTAAACGATTCTGGTCTACCCTTTTACTCTACGAGTAACGGGTAAAATTACAAAAAAATTAAAAAAAAAATAAATTTCAAAATTTGAATGCAGATTTTTAGAGAATTTCGCCAGAAACATTTAGAGGTATGCCACTTCAAAATCCGATCAAGATAATTTGAGTTATGGAGTTTAGAACTTCAGTCTTTGGGCATTTTGGAATTTCTACAGTACATCCCATCAAAAAAATGACAAAAATATTGAAAAAAAATAAATTTCTAAATTTTAATGCAGATTTTTAGAGAATTACGCCAGAAACATTTAGAGGTATGCCACTTCAAAATCCGATCAAGATAAGTTGAGTTATGGAGTTTAGAACTTCAGCATTGTGGCATTTCCTACTCTTTTTGAATTTCTACAATATCATAACATCAAAAAAATGACAAAAATATTGAAAAAAAATAAATTTCTAAATTTTAATGCAGATTTTTAGAGAATTACGCCAGAAACATTTAGAGGTATGCCACTTCAAAATCGGATTACGATAAGTTGAGTTATGGAGTTTAGAACTTCAGCATTGTGGCATTTCCTAATCTTTTTGAGTTTCTACAATATCATAAGATCGTCATTAACATATTTTATATTCATTCCAAATTTTTTTAATTTTTTTTCACAGGCTGCTTGGGGCGGCGGATTGTTGATGTCGCGTAAGCATCGTCATCCCAGATTTACTGGTGTTGAGCGGTAAGTAAGAGAGTTTTTTAAGAAAAAATACCTTTTAATATATGATTTAAGTATGTGCAGTATACGTTTTATGTAGCTAAATTAAGTCATCCTTTATTCCTTCAAGTTCCAGTGAGCTCCTCAGAAGTTCTTTAAAAACCCCTTATCTTTTGTTCCAAGCAATTGTAGTACCCATTCATCATCGTTCTTGACATGAACTTTGTGCCTTGGGCGCCCTCATCTTTCGGCGAGTCAAAACAAAAATTGAAATCTCTTCCCCGGTTTGGGTAAATTTAAATCTAAATGCTCCCAAATGGCCCGCATCGCTCAACTTTGCCGCCCCCTTTTGAAGGTCGGATGCGAGCTGAACATGTGGGAAAAATCTCAATTTGTCATTTAGTGCCTCCATCAGGTGTTCAGAGCTTACAGGGATTACAAGGCACAAGCCGAGTGCATTTTGGCCCGAACAAACAAATGAACAAAGTGGATTTCCCCGGTCCCTGCTCCATCTCCATCTCCCTTTCCCTTTCCCTTTCCTAACCAATCCATCTAGCCCAGGGGGGTGTTTTGGATGGCCATGGGCATTACTTACACAACAATTACGCCAAACAATGAATGGGAGGGCAAGTCAGGAATAGGGATTCAACCCCGGGCTAGGAATTTTTAATTTTAAAGTCGCAACCTGAAATGCACTTTACTCCGCCTCCAGTTCGACCTACGTTTCCAGCCCGAATCCATTTACTTTGGCAATCCATATATCTTTAATTCTACACAGACTTCGGGAAGCTTAGGCAAATGCGGCAAGTGCAGCTGTCGTGGAATCGACAGCTTGCGGTCAAGCAGCCGACTCCGCAAAACACTTTCAAATTGATTGCCATCGGTGGAGGAGGACTTAACCTCCACTTCCACTCTCATTCCCATTCCTACTTCCATCCGTCCATCCATCACCCAGGCGAACGCCTTCAATTAGTTTGAATGGATCCTAAGGCCCGAATTGTTGTGGCATGCAAATCGAGGTCCTTAATTGAAAGGCACTCATCGCGAATTAATCATTAAAATGCCCATACAGCTGACAATTTGTGGCCTTCGGCGGCTTACGCAACTGATTAATGGTCCTTCGATGGAGGAGGCTCTTAAATCCGCTGAGTTTCAATTTGCGAACAAACTTAAAACAATCGAAAATCTCTTCTTAAAAGCTTCTTTAGCTTCACATGCCACCGCTCAATCAAATGCACATTATATGTAAAAAGTGTTTCGACTAAATGATACTCCTCAAAAAAAAATATTTTTTAATATCAACTGTTCTTTCAAATTTAGTCATACAAAATATATAAAGTATTTTTGTATACAAATTTATAAATAAATTTATGGTATTTATCCTAAATATTTGTATTATCCTTTGTTTTAAGGCAGCCGACTGCTTGAAAAAGTGAAGCATACTTTCAGGCACTCCATAAGGATCATGTTTATAGACACCCACTCACTCACTCACACTTGCACGCCCCTCCCACACACAGGCGCACTCTCAGCGCCCACATAACTGTAAATAGCTCCCACAGGGATGTTTAGCTGTCAATGTCAACCCTCCAGTGCCCACCGGGGGTTGTCCTCGCTCTTTTGAATTCAATTAAAGTGCTGCGGCCTGAAATTGCCACAATTTATGGCACTTGCCAGGACCTTCCGTTTTTTTTTTTTGCAACTCTTGTCGAACAACAGGGGGTGGAATTGGTTGGTTTTGGGAGTGGGAATTGTACCGCAGTGCGGCAGCTTAGTGTTAATTGTTTGTAATTCGTAATTGAATGTCCATTTAACGCCATGCGTTTGACTCTTGCAGGGCCGATTCGGTCACCTGGAATCCCCACAAGCTCATGGGAGCCCTGCTCCAGTGCTCCACGATCCACTTCAAGGAGGATGTAAGTATGCCATTCCAGGTATAACAATTAAAAGAATGGAAAGTTTGAATAACTGATAGAGAATAAAGTCGCTGTTTTATCGTATATGTTACGTGCTTAAACATTATCTTCAATATACATACATATTTACCGTTTGGCAAGATTTCAAGGCCTAGAAAGTTGTACTATCGATGTTGCAGGGGCATAAATTTTAACTTTGTGGAATTTTGATGAGATTTGTGCCTCAAGCCAATGTTAGAAAAGTATGCAACGTAAAATTTGTTTTATCCTTTACAGCTGTGACCTCACATATTTCGTATTTTATTGCTCAAAATCACTGAAATCATTGTTTGCAAAGTAATAAACGAATAATTGCTCTTTGAGTTGCAAATTAAAATTAAAGGCCGGCCTGTCGGAGGAGTCATTCCACCACCAATCCCCCCGCCGAAACTCAAACGGAGCGATTCAAATTGGAGGCATGCCCCCAGCACAACCCCATGCCTTAAATTCCTTTTCCAACCAGCCCACTCCCCCGCCGGTTCACCCAAAATTCTTTTGGATGCACATCGAACAATGTTTGTGTAAAGAATTCCAATTGTACTCCAAACAATTCCTTGTTGTTTCGTTCCGTTCCGTTCGTCCTGCCAAACCAGGAGTGAAACGGCCAAGGGTAGTCGCACACACAATGCGTAATGAAATCTTTGACGAACCAAATGCGCCGAGTCACCCTGGCTTTTTTACATCCCGTGCAATATGTTACCATCGGTCACAGTTGCGTCTTTTGGCAGGCGGAATTTTAATTAAAATTTCTACTTGACTTATGGACAGCGGAGTTGCGTTCGCTGCGAACTGAGAGATTTCATCCCAAATCGATATGTACTTCTTCCACGCAGGGCCTGCTCATCAGCTGCAACCAGATGTCGGCGGAGTATCTCTTCATGACCGACAAGCAGTACGACATTAGCTACGACACCGGCGACAAGGTGATCCAGTGCGGCCGGCACAACGACATCTTCAAGCTGTGGCTCCAGTGGCGGGCCAAGGGAACCGAGGGATTCGAGCAGCAGCAGGACCGCCTCATGGAGCTGGTCCAGTACCAGCTGAAGCGCATCCGGGAGCAGTCCGACCGCTTCCACCTGATCCTCGAGCCGGAGTGCGTCAACGTCTCCTTCTGGTACGTGCCCAAGCGACTGAGAGGAGTGCCACACGATGCCAAGAAGGAGGTGGAGCTGGGAAAGGTAAGATTTTGGATATATAAAGTATATTTCTGTTGGTCTCATAATATTATCTCATAATGCTTAACGCTTTCCAATTATCCTTGCAGATCTGCCCCATCATCAAGGGCCGCATGATGCAGAAGGGAACGCTGATGGTGGGCTACCAGCCCGACGATCGCCGGCCCAACTTCTTCCGCTCGATCATCTCGTCGGCGGCGGTCAACGAGGCGGATGTGGACTTCATGCTGGACGAGATCCATCGCCTGGGCGACGACTTGTAAGGGGTTTCAGTCTGGTTCGGTTCGGGTCGGCTCGGCTTCGATTGGTATGGGTAAGATCACACAACCAAGAAGTATCATTTAGGTAAAAGCATATCAGAAGACCGGCTGAAGAACCGGGTATGATGGGTATGATGGGTATCCCGGTAGTCATCAGAGTTCAATGTTAAATGTAAATTTGTTTGTATCTATAACGTGTTGCTAGATGTTCCTTTACGATTTCTCATTCTGTTATCCGTTGACCGTTATTCGTTAAGCGTCGTTATCCGTTCGTCCCGGAGTTGGAAAAAAAAAAATACTATGTATAATCGAGGCGTTTTACTTTTACGTTCGTTGGCAACTATATCTAAATCGATGGACATAGAGGAGAATCCACAAGTAATATTTGAATATCTATATGTATACCGCAAATAACGATAGAATTCAGAGCATAGAAGCCACCGCTCCACACACGCACCACCAAATTGAAAAACAGTCCCAGCCCCACACTAAAGTAATATGATATAATGCTATATATACGATATAGAAACTGTTGGAACGCTATCTTAACATATCAGGAGAAGATGAAGAGCAGTTAAGGACCTTAGTTCAATTCGTTGATTTCACTTTGTTTGCAAATAGAGAATGTTTTCAAATATATTTTATCTATGGCCATGCGTACCTTTATAAAAATGAGATCGAAAGAGACCTGTGCTTGTTAATTGTATAGACAAACCAAAGAGAGGGCATCTGAACCGCAGATCCCATTTAGTCCATGTATCGAACTGTGCTATATATAGAGACATGAATACGTATAATCGAATTAGTTGGAGTTTAGTTACCACAAAATGGCTGACAAACATATATTGCCCGGAGTCAATTAAGCTCAATTACGAATGTTGGAAGATTCTGATTTTAGTTAAGTTTTAATCAGTTAGTTGCTCCAGAAAGGTTGGAATGGTAAGTCCCTATATTGAAAGAACACAATCAGACATATTACATTCTACCTGTGCACGAAACTTGTTTGTCAATTCCTCAAAAGTAACAAAATAATGGCATAAAAAGTAAAACAAACACCTATAGTACTTTAAAGCGTGTTATCTAAGTTTATTAAGCATCGCGCTCATCTTGTGTATGTATAAATTAATGTATGTATATGTATTCGCAGAGATCCAAATCAAAGCCAGAACAAGAATTATTCCAACATCTATATAAATGCAAATGAATATATTATATATATGAATATATGGGTAAAATAAATAAAAGTAACCAAAGCGCAATTCGAATTTCTCTTTATTATGGTTAAGATGCTCTTTAGCTTTGGGGGCTTGGTTTTGCTAAGAGAACTGAGAGATCTTGTGGCCCGGAGCACCCATATAAGGCGGATCGTGAATTGAAAATACCTCAGTTCTTATCTAGCTCACTCTGGCTCCGCGCACGTTATTTCCGCTTCTCTGCTTCAGTTTATTGATTCGCACCAACCTGCCCAAGTATTCCACTTTGAGCGCTTTCAAAATGTCCCAGAGTTTTGTGCCAGTGCCAGCGAACAGCGATTTTCCGCTGGAAAATCTACCCTACGCTGTTTTCTCAACCGATAACAATGTGAGTGATGAATGCTGAAATAAAATTCAAAAGTTGAATGAGATTTAAGAACAATGGTATCGCTGCTTCACAAGAAAATGTTTCTTTAACTCAGCCTGTTTTTGTGTAATATTGTCAAGCCTTTCTTCAGTTTAAGCAGTTTTCATGTGACTTTAGATCGTTCCACATGTTCTAGAAATCAACTTTAGAACAGAAACCACTTTGGGGCATAGCATTTGCATACATCATCCAAGACAAACTAGTTTGTTTACGAAAACAATATGCTAATCCAATCTTTAATAACCCAGCAACCAGATTCTGATAAGGCTCCATATTATATCGTATGTGTATATCGTAAGTGCTTTTCGTTTTACCATCCATAGAAAGTTAACCGTATATGTGTGGCCATTGGACAACATGTCCTGGATCTAAAAGCTGTCTCGCAGTTGTATCCTTCCCAAGTTCAGAAAAGCCTGCAGGCAGAAACTTTGAATGAGCTTATGGGATTGGACTTTGAAGCTTGGGATGTGGTACGGAGCCAGACTCAAAAGCTTCTGACTAAGGGTTCAGAACTGGATCATAATGTGGACTTGAAGGCGGTGTAAGTAGGACGTTATAATGTACTATTCTATAGTTTATAATTTATGTATTACTTTATATCAGTTCCATTGTGCCCCAGTCTGAGATCAAGCTGCACCTGCCTGCCCAGATTGGTGACTACACGGACTTTTACTCATCCATCCATCATGCCACCAATGTGGGCATTATGTTCCGTGGACCGGATAATGCTCTGATGCCCAACTGGCGCCATCTGCCGGTTGGTTATCATGGTCGTGCAAGTTCTGTGGTGGTTTCCGGCACTCCTATCCGTCGTCCTCTTGGTCAAACCTTTCCCGATGGGGCAGAGAAGCCCGTCTTTGGGGCCTGCAAACTTTTGGATTTCGAACTAGAGATGGCCTTCTTTATCGGTGGTAAAGGCAATCAACTGGGAGAACCCATCCGCGTGGATGAGGCCTGGAAAAATGTGTTCGGTTTCACGCTGATGAACGACTGGAGTGCCAGGGATATTCAGAAGTGGGAGTATGTGCCACTGGGCCCCTTCACCGCGAAGAATCTGGGAACCACCATCTCACCTTGGGTAGTGCCCACAGCTGCCCTAAAACCCTTCCTCTTGGAAAACTTTCCTCAGGAACCGGAGGTGCTTCCTTATCTGCGCCAGAGCATTCCCTTCAACTTTGATATCAACCTCGAGGTTTCTTTGAAACGTAAGCCGTGATCTGTTCAAGAATTTTAACGTTAATTCACGAATTTCACATTTTCATTTTCAGCTGCCGATCAGAACGAATCGCTTATCTCAAAGTCGAATTTCAAGCACCTTTACTGGACTCCACTGCAGCAAATCGCTCATCACACAGTTACCGGTTGCAATCTGCGTCCAGGCGATCTAATGGCCTCCGGAACGATCTCCGGCGAGACACCAGACTCGTACGGATCACTGTTGGAGCTTTGCTGGAAGGGCACCAAAACTTTGGAGCTTCCGGGTGGCAAGACCAGGAAATTCTTGCAGGACTTTGACGAGGTCATCATCCGGGGCCACTGCGATAAAAACGGCCTGCGAATTGGATTCGGGGAGTGTGTGGGTCAGGTGCTGCCTGCTCATCCAGTTCCGCAATAGGGCCACTTATGGATTTGGATTAATCTACCTGAGTAACATTAGTAACTGAAATAAATTCTATTGAAAACGAGTTTTTGAATGGCGAAGATTTATCTCGATAAGAACAGATCGATACAACTCTAAATAATTGTTCGTATATAATCGTTAATAGTTTGTATATAAATAGTTAAGCTCTTTAAGTTTCTCGAATTAGTTTTTCCTTTCTTATAGTTTTTCCTTTGGTGAGCACATTTTGCATTCCAATTTAAAAGGCATACCTTTTGGGATAAATGGCCGTCATATCGTATACGTAATATTTTTTCTCGGTGCACAGTAATAAGCTCAACAAGTGCTCAACTCTCTATGTTTCTCTCTCCGTCTACCTCTCTTGCCTTGCTCCCATTCGGCTACTCCACTCTCGCTCCAATCGGTGTTTGTGCCATTCCACGCAGCTTCGTAAATACACGCATGCCGCTTCTTCTTCGGCTGCAGAAAAGAGCGGAGAGCAAAAATGCGAGCAGAGCAGAGCGGAGCAGCAAACCGCATTCATTCCTTGAAAGTCAGCGGGCGAAGGTGGGCGCGCTGCGAGAAATCAAACGGCAAAACGGCAGAAAGGCAAAAGCGACCCGCCTATCGAGCAAACTTGTTTAAAGTGCCATAAAAAAAGCCACAAAAAAGGGGAGAAATAAAAAAAAGCTTCTGTGCAGAGCAGACGCGACTGGCGCCGGTGCCCCAATAATAAGTTTTCCGGCGAGTGTGCAACTTTTTTTGGTTAATAAAAATTATAAATAAGCAATACAACTTAAAGTGCAAGTGCAGTGATTGAATAGCGCTCTGAATTAAGTGTAAGTGCTGCTCACAAATTGGCGTTAAAAATAGTGCAGAATAGTGCAAAAGTTTTCCGCAAACAACGCTGGAAAATGCCTTGGAAAAATCAATTTTTTACTCCACTCTGCGCAAGTACACACACACAAATACGCAGACTAGCGAAGGGCAGACGGCGGGGTGGGGTGGGCCACCCACCCTGGCAGAAAACTCTGTCTGCTCGGAGTACAAATGCACTGTCAGAAATGTTAACGTTGATTACTCTTAGATTCGTAACAATTTGCATAACCCAAGGTCGCATAACATAGCATGCATATGTTTTAAGTATATAGTGCATTTATGTTTTTGTAGAATCGAACCGCCATTGAAATTATCCTATTTTCGATACGTGTTTAATTAACAAGCAACACATTTGTTCACTGTGTGGAAAAAAGTCAACAAGAGACCTCCGAATCCATTCCCATTCCCATTCCCTTCACCATTGTTGTTCTTGCTGTCCTCCGTCTGCTTGCACTTTTGTGTTTTTGCATTGATTTTCCACATCGTTTTTTATACCGACTGTCGCAGTTTCGCCAAATGCATCTGCAGCACGAAGATGTATCCCGAATGGCGAGGATGGGGTTGAGGATGGGGACGTGGACAAATGTACACGCAGCACGCAAAAAGTTAATCAGGCCCCAAAGAACAACAAAACGCTGATGCCAAAAACACACGGCGAAGGGGAAAGTGAGCATGAGTGACATTTTTATACCCTGGGATGGAATTAACTATTAACTAACATAAATTCAAGTGTCACAAAGTGTTTTTCTTCATTCCCATAAAATTGATTCAATGTAAAGGAATGCGGAGAACGATAGATTTCGGCCCACTGGGTACACCCTGACAAGTGTAGGGTATCGGGCAGTATTTGCAATTAACTGGCGCCGTCGGCTATCGTGCGAGAGCAGCCGGCGGGTTCCGCCTTCTCGCCCGCGGGGGCTCCTCCGGCCCACTCCACGGAGCACTTGGTACAGCGCCAGTAGGAACCTGTTTTGGCGCGCCAGAGACAGCGCTCTCTTGCTTCTCGAATTCTCTTTATTTGCGCATTTGCTTAAAGTGGAGAAAGGAGAGGAAACCAGGAGCGAAATGGGAGAAATGAGAGAACTGAAATAGAGCCCCTTCGAAACTATTATTACTGTATAAATTGAACAATATTACAAGAGCAATATAAAATTCATGGTACAAGAAACATTTCAGCAAATTGGAATAGAAACGGTGATCATTCTATTTGGCGCTTTCCTTCAACGGGGCTTTCTAGCGACGACGCATCCTCCAAAGTTTCTCTCGTTTTTTGCGGTCCAAAAGATCCGATATTGATTTCGGGATGGTTTTCGACTTGATAGCATTCAATTGGGAGTTGATCATCGTAACCAAAGTTCCGATTGCGTTGACAACCGACTCCTGATCATTTTGATCCACCTCCAATTTTGGTATTTCTAGAACTGGCGAATCCTTTAAAGCATCTGATGATGTGTCAGAGTTCTCGGATTGTGATGTGTCCTTGTCCTCGTCGTCGTAGTCCTCGTCGTCGTCGTCCGCGTCTGACGGGTACTCTTCCGACTCTACTGATGAATCGGAATGCGTTTGCAAAGTCTTCTCCGGCGCGGAATCGTCAGTGGCGCCCGAATCTTTATTGGTAGGACTTGAATTCTGCATGAAAAGTGGGAAGTGATAAACGAATGCACTCAGGACATAATTAATAATCACCATACCATGTTATTCATCTTTCGCAAGAGTTGCAAAATAGTTTAGCACAATAACGAAGCCGACAAAATTCACGGCAATCCAGAAAATGAAGTACACGAACACAAGCTGTCCACTCATAACAATCGAGTTTAGAATGAAAAAAGTTTGACACTCGTGACATCGAATTGACAAGTAACTCTTAGACTGCTTGACAATAAGACATTGGCAGCCCTGAAAAATCCAAACTGTACTTCACAAATATTTGCTGAATAATGCTATCAGCTGTTGGTCAGCTGTTGTTGGTCAAACAACAAACACAATTTTCAAACACTTTAACCAAAGTTGTCACCTTACTTCTTAATAAACCATTTTGCAATAATCTAGTAATAATACAAAACGTTTAAACATTTAAAATTTGCTATATATTTTGTAAGCCCTAATGATAAAGCTTATATGAATTGCCCCAAAAGTATGAATTTATTGAATTGAAATTGCCATAAATATTTGGCGTAGATAGCGAACCGCGATTTCATAATCGCTTGATAAGTCTATCCTGAACTGTCTGATAAAATGCTTATCTTGGCTTGAATTTCATGCCTCGTCACCCACAATTAACCCAAATGCCGCCGATGCAAATTTGTTACCAGCGTGGTATAAACATATTTCTATTTGCAAGTTTGTACATACATATAAGGCAAACTTACGTACCCTATAATTGGAGCGTAATAAGTTTAACCAGCCACATAATTAATGCCGGCAAAATTTGTAAACAGCCTACAGGGAAAATCGAGTGGGTGGAGTGTTTTCAAGAATGCGTGCTTATGTATACTCGTATACCTTCCGTGGGTGTACAAGTTAATGGATGATAAGGCGGATAAATTGAAGTTAGTTCAGATAAATACTACACAATTAATGGTAGAGGTATTTAAAGATATGAAAGTAAATAAAAGCGTATAAATTTCCTGCATTATAAATGTTCCCAAGTCGAGCTGCTCTACACTGCACTCGAACGTCAACTGAATGATTCCTATTCTGGCGGCGCCTGGTTCCAAATGGGTTCCAAAGTGCAACCGTTCCCTCGAGACTTGGAGTGGGTGGGTGCTCATAGTTCCCCCATTTGATCCCCCCACTTCCCGCAATCTAGACAGACTTTGACGGAGACGCTTCGCGATCGGTAGTGTTCGATTGTGGAGCTGTGCGAGTATTTGGGTCTGGCCATTATCATCGGCGGTTGACTTGATATAGTGGCAGAGCTTGAAAATTATCATCGACGATTGATATGCAAACCGAATGTGAGATTTTTGTGGAGGGGAGCAGAAGTTGGAAACGATGAGAGTGTGGCCCGACTATTGATAATTGTAGCGTACATGCTTTTTATTTGGAAAAGGCAGAATAATATTATATTATAAACTTGTTGTTCTTTTAGCAGCTTTTGGTCTTACAAAATGCCGTAACATTAGCCAGCTACCCTGCGGTCATTGCCATCCAGAGTAAATCATACTGAAGGTGCTTTTCAAGAGGATTCCAGACATGAATTGGGCTATCTTTTTTTTGTTGGCCTCGATCTCGCTAGGCAGAGCAAGTGAGTACCCTTAGTAATTACTATCTAAAGAATGAATATGAACATAATGGTCTCTGTTTTGATTAGCACCTGTACCGAATCGCCAGTATAGCTGCATGAGCTTCCAGGAGGACGACAATTCATTTCACGATGATGACAGCGAACAGGACTCTAGTGGCGAAGTGCAGGAGCAGCAGCTGGAGTCCACTCCCATTCCGAGCGAGCCACATAGACGCACCTGTCCCGAAGGCTACACTTTCTGCTTCACCATCTGGAACCAGACGGCCAATGGAGCTCGGGTTGTTAAGCAGGGTGAGTTTATCAAAGTGATTAGTTTGACTTATATTTATTTACTGCTCCTAACTCATATTTACCTAGGTTGCTGGAAGGACAACACGGATCGCACCTCCATTTGCAGCCAGTCGGAATGCACCAGCTCGGCTCCCACTTCGAAGACCAGTTCTTTGTACTACTGTTGCTGTTCGGGAGGAGTGTGCAATGCCCAGTATACCGTGGTAGAGCCTGCACCTCTGGAACTGGGCTCCAATGAGGGAAGGACTTTGATCACAAATAGGGCCACAGAAAAACAGCACCAGTCCTCTTTGGCCAGCACAATGCTGAGCCTTGCCGGTGGACTCACAGCCCTCATCATCGGCATCTTCCTGGCTGTTCAATTCTGCCGTGTGGCCAAGGAGAAGCCCGAACCGGAGGAGTCGCCACTGGCGCCATCGGGTCCTGGCTACAGTTCCAATCTCCGGAATGTGGACAACATGAATTTGATCGGTATGCTCGGTAGCGGCAAGTATGGAACTGTGATGAAGGGACTGCTCCACGATCAGGAGGTGGCGGTTAAGATATATCCTGAGGAGCATCATCAGTACTATGTGAACGAGAGGAACATCTACGCGTTGCCTTTGATGGAGTGTCCTGCACTGCTCAGCTATTTTGGTAAGTGTACCCTGGTAATTTCCCAAAGTATATTCAAAACATATGCTTTATTCCATTTTAAAGGCTACGATGAACGCTGCACCATGGACGGTCGGATGGAGTATCAACTGGTACTATCACTGGCTCCCCTCGGCTGCCTCCAGGATTGGTTGATAGCCAACACCCTGACCTTCAGCGAATGCTGTGGAATGCTGCGGTCCATCACGCGAGGAATCTCGCACTTGCACACGGAGCTGCGTCTGGGGGATCAGCATAAGCCCTGTGTGGCCCATCGGGATATCAACACAAGGAACGTGTTGGTCCAAGCAGATCTCAGCTGTTGCATTGCGGATTTCGGTTTTGCACTCAAGGTGTTTGGCTCCAAGTACGAGTACAAGGGCGAGGTGGCCATGGCGGAAACGAAGAGCATCAATGAAGTGGGCACACTTCGCTACATGGCCCCAGAATTACTGGAAGGAGCTGTAAATCTGCGGGACTGCGAAACCTCGCTAAAGCAAATGGATGTCTATGCCCTGGGCCTGGTGCTGTGGGAAGTGGCCACCCGCTGCTCGGATTTCTATGCTCCTGGACAAGCAACACCTCCTTACAAAGCACCATATGAGCAGGAGGTGGGCTCCCATCCCAGCTTTGATCAAATGCAGGCATTGGTGGTGCGGCACAAGGCGCGTCCCTTATTTCCCACCGGCTGGGGTGGAGGAGCAGCAGCCAAAGTGGTGCGAGATACTTGCGAGGATTGTTGGGATCACGATGCGGATGCTAGGCTGACCTCCTTGTGTGCCGAGGAGCGCATGCAGGAGATGTCGACTTTAAGACCACGAGCACAGGTTCAACCTGCCAGTCCACTGCTGAATACCAACAATTTGGTGGCCAGCCCAACTGCGGAGCAGGTAAGATCCATTATTCGAGAGTATTCCAATAGTTACTCTATATATGAATGCTTTTCCAGGGCATAAATATTGTAACCACAACGACAACGGCGGCGGCAGTGCACCACCAGATGAGCACCGACACCACGGGACTTATACAGCCACCTCCCAATCAGCAGATACCTCCAGCTGCCTTGGAACGGGAGAAGAATCACCTGAGCTACCCGCAGCAGCAATTGCAGCCTTATCAGGGCAGGAATCCCTGCCAGGAACGCAATCTGGCACCTCTGACAATGCGAACTCCCCCGGTTCTCGTGGAGCGGAGCAAGAAGCACAGTTTCCAGACGCAGCCCCAGGAGAACTCACTGTCTTGCCTGGAGCATGATGTGAGTGTGGAGGAGCTGATAGCCAGCCATCATCACCAGCAGCAGAAGAACACGATTGTCAGCGCAGGTGGCAATGCCAATTCCTGCTTGGGTCAGGGATTTCCCAAGCAGCAGAACACGGATCAAAAACTGCGAGGATGGCATGGCGTCAGAGCCCTGATACACAAGAAGCTTTTCCGCAAGGAGCACGACGAGGAGCTGTGCCGCCAGTTGCAGTTGGGCGAGGAGAAGTCCAATCTGGTTACGGCTCTACGACGACCGAACAACCTGGATCTAAGTCCTCGCCTCGATAAGCCTCCGCCGGTTCAACTGAGAAGTGCAGAGCAACGGTCGGGAACTCCGGCTCACATTGTACCCCGCTCGCTGTCCAGCAGCCTGATCAAGCACATCAACGGGAGCACCAACAATAACTCCATCCAGAGTCATGGTAGCGAACTGCAGACCCTAACCCGTCCCGCTACGAAGCGAAGACCTGGCCACCTGCGAACCAACTCCCTGATGGCCACCACTGGCCAGGGTCCTCCGACGGAGCAGCAAATGCGTCGTCAGCACAGTTTGGAGGTATTTCGTGAAGTATTCAGCGGTCGGGGGAGCAGCGAGCGGTTGAGGGATCCCAGCGAGCGGGTCAAGACCCCGGGAGATGTGCCACCATCCGTAAGGAAAGCCAGGGCGAGCAAGACACTGAGCTTGTACGACGACCGGATGATGGACTCCTCCCTGCTCAACATCCTCTAGCATGAGGAGGTTCTGCTGTTGGAACTATAAACTGATCGAAGGCAGCAGAACATCAATCCACACCCATATCTCATCCTTCATCGAACACATATTCAACGAAAGCTATAGAGCAGAAGACTTGAATCGCTTCCTGGAAAAGTCTTCTCACAAATCAGAAGGATAAAGGATGTTTTGTTTTCTACTCAAAATTCTCTTCGATTTCAAATCAAAAAAAAAAAACATTATTATTTATCAAGAAACAAAGATACTGTCACAGAAATCACACATCATTATTTCTAAACGCGTCTGGATTGACGATTTGAAAACGAAGGAATTTTGTGAAATTGAAAACACGAAACAGCTCCTAGAAACAATTATTTTTCGAACATAGTAGAAAGACAGTGTATGTGTATATCTGAATGTATTTTTTCACCAATCATCCTAGCGTGTAGTGCGGCAAACAACCAAAGTCCTTATAGGTTAGATCAGACTAGAATCGTACGAGTATCAGTATATAGCAGTATATAGCCTACCACACACTCACATATATTTTTGACTTGATCTTGGACAAGAGCGAAACAGGTAGTAGTCTATATAGTTTGTATATGTGCGGTTTTCACTCGAGTTGAGCTTAAGGCAAGAAGGGAGTAAACAAAGAAGGGGGTTGTTCGGACCACTTTTATAGAGCCATATTTAGAAACGAACTGCATTACGAGTATATATTTAACTAAGCATTGTACTGGAATATTTAGTCAAGCATAATTACACACTGAAGCCCCAGAATTGGGTTGTCATGCCGAATACATGTATACAAAAAAAAAGAAGCACAAAATACTCGAAGGAAATATGTGGTTAACAAAATAAGCAATCTGCTGCGGAATGACAACCCACATGCCCTTTGTTCGAGTATATGGCAACCCTAACTAGTATACCCATACCCCTTTGGAAGAATTTTCGGTGAATGCCTTTTTGTCGTTCTCTTTAGTACTTAGACCAAAACACCCGCAGCCTTTCAATCACATTAAATGCAAGTCTAGTTATGTATAATTTACACTAATTGTAATTATGAACTAATTTAAAATAATTAATAAACGAATTATTTAAAAGTGACGTGAAGTCTGGTAACTCAGTCTTAATCCTCTGGCGGCTTACATAGACCTAAAAGCCTATTCCCTACGCAATCGCAGATCGATCAGCACTGGAGCATCGGGTTTATTTATCAAGAGGGTTTTGACATCCATCTCATCGTCGGATCCGCTCCAAACCAATTCGTATTCACGCAAGAGCTGAAAATGCAAATCCATTCCATGGAATAAACAAATTCACATTATTTTGGAGACCGCAAAGTGCTGATCTGTTTCCGTTAGCTCACCCTGAGAACCAAAATGTGCATATTCTGCTCGGCCAAACGGCGGGCGATGCAGGCCCGCATTCCGTGACCGAAGGGAAGGACCAGGTAGGGATTCAGGGCACTGCGGTGCTGGAGCCACCGATCTGGTTGAAAGCGCAGGGGATCCTGAAAGTGCTGCTCCAGACGGCAGGCTACCATGTTCTGGGTCACCACGGTGGTCTGGCAAGGGAATACACTATTTAGATGTATAGCGAGGAAATATTTGTATAAGCACTAACCCCCTTTGGCACAAAGTAGCCACTGAAGATGGCATCCTGGTTAAGAATCCTACCCACGCCCACGGCAATGGGATTCAAGCGAAGCGATTCCTTGAGGACAGCCCTCGTGTAAGTGATATCAGTTCGTAAGGCATCCAGGGATAGCTCGTCCTTGGGATTCGGAAGCACTCTCTTGGCTTCCTCGTGCAGTTTTTGCTGCACCTCCGGATTTCGAGCTATGTGATAGAGCAGGAATGCCGAGGCATACGAGGTGGTATCGATGCCAGCCAAGAGTAAATCAGCAGCAGTGCCCACCACGTCACTGCGATCAAGTTCAGGATTTCTTATATAAGCCGAGATCAGTGAGGATTCCACAGAACCATTCCTCACATTCTCCTCCACTAGCTCCAGGGCCACACCCTCCATGTAGGATTGGGCCTGGCTTAGTTTTCGAAAGCTAGGTGTGTCCAGGAATCGCCACAGTTGGAGACCCTGATCCGTGGGCAGGATGCAGCTATTGGTGGTCTCCGCTGCATTCATCAAGCGGGTGGATCGGGATTTAGGAGCTTGTTCCTGGGGCGAAAAGGACTGCAGACGTGCTCCAAAGGTAAGCAGGCAGGTTACTGAAAATGTGAACATAGTGGTGATTTTACTAGTGACACATACTTTTCAACGAGTCTAGTATACCCTTTTACTCTACGATTAACAGGTATACAAATTGCCAAAGGTTATATAAGAATTTTTCTTCTACGAATTCTATATAAAACTAACTAAATAGAATGGGTCTAGAAACTCTATTCTCAAGATAAAGTTTGTTGAATAAATTCAAATGAAAATTTGCCAAACTCAAATACTTGACGCAATGTTTAATTTATTTTATAGGCGATCTACTCACATTCCAAATTCAGTCTGGTGAGCTTGGGCAGCATATCAATGGCAGCACCATCGCGAGATTCTTGTAGAAATCTGAGGAACTCCTTGGTCACTCCATCCACTTGGCGAACGAAGTTCCGCACACTCCTTGGAGCACTCAGCTCCTTTTGCACCTGGGCACGTATACGCCACCATTCCGGACCATTGGTGGGCAACAAACCGGTGGTTTTATACACTTCCGGTCTGTTCTTGCGATATTGGGCCAGTGCCAGGTGACTTCTTCTCTGCGGGCAATCCCGCTCGTTGAGCAGTGAAGCTATGTCCTTGGGATCGTACAGCCAGACGATGTCCTGTCCGGGCACTATAGTTTCCCGCACAATCGCGCCATACTTCTTATACTTATCCTGGCCGGCCTTGTGCAACCTCAGCCAGGAATAGCATCCGATTCCGGGCAGGTAGTTGTATAGATTACCCATACCAAAGGGCCCTCGAGGTCCTGGAATCGCCTGATACGGCTTGGCAAAGGTGCACTGCCTCGAAGTGCAGCTAATCTTCAATAGTTTGGTCAGCATTTTTCGTCGATTCTCTGGTCTTTTCGCGGCAAATTCTCGAAATGCACTGGTGACTACGTGGGTCTGAAGGTTTTATTGTCGGCTCAGCATTTTGAAAAAAGGCATAAATCGTACTCTGGGATCGAAGTTGTGCCTACCTGTGGTGAATCTACCTGCCTGAGTGGGACTTCTCTAAGTATTTTCACTCTTAAAACCAAGAGAGCCGAAATAGGAAGAGAATATGGCCATAAAGAATGGTATACTTTTGGGCTCTAAGTGTACGGTGATCTTGTCAAAAACTAAAATATATGGCAGCTCTTATCTTAAAAAGTTTACACCAAAAGGGGACTACACCCAAGCCACATATATTATTTACCTTTTGTTTGATTTGCATTTTAATTGAGTCTTCTCCAAATATGATATTTTACAAAAAATGGGCTTCGCCAAAAGCCAAACCGATGTTGTGTAGATCGTTAAAATTATTTATTGGCAGTCTTCTTTGGGTTATAATGGTACATTTAGTCTACTTTCTTCTCCTCAAGAAGCTTTTCTTCCCCCCTAGGCAGTTGCTCCTCCCCCTCGAGAAGCTCTTCATTTAGATCTTCGGTTATATCGGTGACATCTAGATTGAGTGTCGTATTCATTGGTGAGGAGTTCTTGGAGCACTTTTTCGACTTCTTGCGTTTTTTAGGAACTTCTTCGTTGGAAAGCTGATCTTTGGAACGTCCAGTGAATAAGACGAAGACAAAGTTGCCCAGAGCCACCACCGCAGCCAGAAGAACTAGAAAAGGCGCAGCCAGGACATCCAGTGAATTGGCCACGAAGAAATTTTGGGCTAAAGCCTCCGTTTGTGCGAAATTCTTAAAGAATTGTGGTTCGGCGATAAGTTGTTCCGCATGCCATACGGCCAATTCTAAAGGGGAAATCGGACGAGTCCGGAACTTCAGTTGGGCCTGGTATAGGGCACTTGCGAAATGCACTTCATTCAGGATTCGCTTAAGGGCAGCGGACAGGGATTTTTGGTTAAGTTCGTTGGCCTGAAGCACCACTCCCAAGTTGCGTTCCTTCACACGTTGGGCATTCTGCAGGATACATTTGAATATAATATGATTTAATACAATTAATTCAAGTGTTGGAAGTACTCACATTAAATTCCTCTAGTTTAAGGGGGAGCACAACGACGGGCACTGCATTGTGAATCGCCTCCTGAAGACTGAAACTATCTCCGTGATTCAGGAATCCCTTGACGTACTGCATAGCTGATAGTCATAAGAAGGGTATGTTTATTAACGTTTTGAAGATGGATGCCAGGTAGAGCCTACAAACCTACCCAAAATATCTTGCTGTAGCGATTGATCCACATGTAGCGCCAAAAGATTTGGTTTCTCAGCCGGCAACTGGTCTAGTTGCTCCACATTCCATATAAAACCACAACTGGGATTGTCACTAATCATGGTGTCCATTGCTTCTAGTCCCTGGCCATTCATATACTGAATATAGGGCATATTGATGTACACGATGCCATCGATGAACATCTCTGTGAATTGCCGTATATACTTGGGCAGAGGACTGGGTTTGCTCTTGATGTGGAGACCAGCCACTTCGATGACTCCGGGCGGAAGGTTTTGAACATAGTCCAAGGTTGGATGTGTATTTAAAAGCACCAATTGCAGAGTGGGAAAAATGTTTTCCATCTTCGTTATGTTACTCAGAACCAGCCGAGTGGCCATTAAGCGGATCCTAGAGATTAAGATAAATGAATATTTGATAATTGCATAGCAGTAGATGACTTCCGAACTCACAGTGGCTCTGTATAGTACATGATGTGGTTGTGAAGTCGGTTCCAGAAGCCCATCTTTTGCGGAAATGGGCTTATGTAGTGCGGTATCCGGGCCGCATTTATAGTGTTTTCCGCTTGGAGCAGGGACAAAAGGCCCGGGGTGAGCTTACCAGCACTCAGGCCCAGAACTGGCTTGGAACGCCAACCGTTAACAAAGTCCATGAGGCACTCAATGCCTTGCGTGACATCCGTAATGATCAGATCGAATTCCGAGCACAGTCGGGCGGTCAGCTCCGGCATCTTGCTGCTCAAGGTATCCGAAAAGAGGACAGAACGGCAGCTGCCCACGAGGACCTCATTCCACACCACCAGCTGGTTGAGGGTCGCCATATCCATGTACTCCCGCGGTTTCTCAAGGAGGAAGTACTTCTTCATCACATCGTAATCGTTGCGCAGATGGTGGTACAAAAAACCGTCCACTTGCTTCTTTGGCTCCGGATTGGGGGCTGTACTGACGACCAATAGGGTATGACCTTTGGCCAACAGGGCGTCGAAAAGGGGCCTTGACCAGCCGGGATTGCTGTGCTTGGCCGTTGTCACCAAGCACAAGATATTAGCGGTCTCCAAGGAGCAAAAGCTTCCCAAAAGCACGAGCAACGGGAGTAGACAAAAGGGCTTCATTGCTCCAATTACTTTCCACTACTGATTCACCTTCGTGAGTTGTTTAGGTGGCTTCAGCCGATGAGATACACTGGGTAATATGGTTGTCGCGCTGATAAGGCTTCAATCGGATTTGTTTTCCTTCGATATCGGTGTGATTATGGGGCACCGAACACGAACGTCCACAATGGAGCGAAGTTTTGGGCATAGACTTGCTCAGATCAAAAATTATTTCGTTTGATCAGCCAACTACCAATAAATGATATACAAATAATATTTATAATTTAAATACGGTTTTATTGTCTTTAAACTGCTTAACAATAACATTTTTCGCAATACATGGCTAAAGTTTTTAGGCAACGGGTGTTCATTCTTCAGAAATGAACAGCTATTGGCCAAAAAACGGCTATCGTTATTTTTATTGGTATAAATTACGCTAAGGGGCAAAGTGGGGAGTTTCAAGTGATGAACAGAGATTTTCATTAATTTACTTTTTGTTAATATGGCAAGATTAATACGTGAATCGATTTCTCCCCAATCACTTACACAATCTGAATTTTGTGCTGTCGTGAGTACCCCTAATGAACTTATTCTAAGCGCTAATTGCACAGTGTTTCGATCCATAAATTATGTTACATTTGTATGTGATTAAGCATTAAATTAATTAACACAGATGTCGTTTTCTTTGTGTGTGTGCGTGCAGTAAAGAAAAAAAAAGAGTGGGGCCTTGAGAAAGGAAAGCTTTAAACGTGGTTATATGTACAGGTTAATCGTAAGTCGGGGATTCCCCTTGGATGAGGTTCTATGGTTAGTTTTGGTGCCTCGTTGAGTGAGTCGGGCTTCGGGTTACATGCAGCACCTGCTTTAGTGTGGGTCGATTTACCCCGATTGGGTGGACTTACTTGGACAAGAAATTTTCTAGAAAGTGTTCCTAAAAATCTATAGGTGTAAGCTTCGAAATATCGATTTAATTAAATACTGAATATTGATTTAAAATTTATCACATGACATAATGGTATTATAATTTTCCTACGTGGATTTTCTTAGAGCTTATGTTTCTAGCTTTATAGGAAATTCTTTTGGAAGTACACGTAATAAAAATGTAGCGAAAAGGTATATGCAACCAGCCACATCCTACAAGTCAAAATTACCCAGATTTATTTGATTCCTAGCCCCCAAACTCTTTAAAGAACCCAACAATCGCTGACAGAATAAATCGACCCACACTAATCTCCATGAATGATCCTATTCTCTACTATCTATTCGTTGACCAACTGCGCCGGACCCGGCGAATCGTATGGCGCTCCGTTGGCGCCAACAAACTGGTTGTTATTCCGATGGACGAATCCCCGGCCGGGAGCTGCATTATAGTACACCACCCGCCGGATTCCGAAGGGATCCACGTAGCCAAAGCTGCCCGCTCGTTTTCCGTCCGCCGGATTCGTTTCCTCCTCGTGGTACTGCTTGGGCAGCACATAACGGAATCCATTACGGGTCACTCCCACGCCATCGTATTCGGAGGCGGCCAACCCTTCGAGGTGATTACTCTGAACTGGCCTGGGACGCAGCCGTCTTCGGTGGGTGCTAGCCAGTGGCGGAAGAAGTCCCGCCTCCAGGGAGTTCACATCCACTGGGGCTTGCGGAGGCGGATAGTAGCCATAGCCCGTGCTGGAGGACGTGGCTGGCGGGGCGAATTGATAGGCAGGTGCAGCAAAGGGCTGAGGCGTGGAGTAGCCATACAAATTGCCGCCAGAAATGGGTGCTGGTGTGCTGGAAACGATGGCTATGGGAGCTGGAGTTGGACGCGGACGCGGACGCAGACGTCGCCTGTGGGCACTCAGTGGAGGCAGCATGTCGAGCGATGGAGGTCTGGCTGTAGTGGAACTAATAACCGAACCAAATTGTCCATGACCGAAAGCTCGATCCGCTTCAGCGTCGTACACATTGATGGCATTCAGTTCCAAGTCCTGGACAGGCTCACCATTGGAATGGATGTCAACCAGAGGGCTGAGGGGCGTGGCCGGAATGGGCGACAATAGCTGATGCGTCGCGCGTGGCAGCTCATCCGGGTAGTGATCGAATCCGAGCTGTGATTGTGGCTCAATCTTGGCCGCTTGTTCGGGGGGCAAGTAATTCAGCTTGCCAGCGCCTGAATCCTCGATATCCAGTAGAGCTGGTGGCGGATGTGGAGCAGGAGTGGTGGTGGACGTGGTGCTCGAAATGTAGCCATAGCTGGGACGTCGATAGCTGCCCAGACTGTTGGCCGAGGATCCCGATGAGCCGCCATGCACCAGGACGCCCGATTGAGCTGGCGCCGCCTTGGTGGATTTGATGGCGTCCTAAGAGAGATATATGTTTGACGAGTGTTCCTTTTAATATTCGAATGCACTTACCTCAACGGCCCTTCCTAGGCCCACATATATGGTCTTGGACTTCAGTATCCTGTATCCCTGCTTATCGGCGATGTAATCCTTCTGTCGCAGATAGCCCGCCGCATCGATCCAAGCCTCAGTTCCTGTGAAAACTCAGTAATTAGTTCAATGAACTTTCCCGCAATGGACATCGTTTTTCACTCACCGATGACTGTGCCGTCCTGCAGCCGCTTCTCCTTGCGAAACTGACCGCTGTCCGTTTGGAAGCGGAAGTAGCGCTCCGGTCCCTCGTCCGTCTGGATATGGTATTGATTCGCACTGGGAGTTTGGCTGCCAGATACAACTGCGGCCAGGGCCACCAAAGCCAGCTGAAAGGAAAGTTTCGATGAGTTGTGATAATAGTTTTTATAGGGGGTAATGTATCGAGGATTGGTCACTAATCACATCCGCCGGCAGCTGCCCCAAACCAAAGCAGGCAGTCGTCAATCCATTGGCGGCTTTCCGGTGGGGCAACTTATGTCCAGTGGGGAAAACATTATTTTGGTTTATGTGTACTAACATGTATTTCGTATCATTGTGATTTCCCACCATTCATTTTTGGTAAAAGTAAAGGAAAAATAGACACTCAGTAATAAGATATTTCATTGCATAAAGTTCAGTTAAAGATATTTCTCCCAGTGTGTGGCACGTTTCACAGTCAAGGTGACACTGGTCAGAGAGGAATCAATGGCACGAGATGCGGTTGTGCAACATTTCAGCAACCACTTGCGGAAATGCAGCATGTGAAAGTGTTTTCCACTGCATCAACACCGCCACCAGTAGCAGCTGCATTAAAAACAAGATCAGCATCGGCAAATCGAACCGGTTCACGTGGCGTATGCGTAATGCAGATGACTCGATTTGGTTTTACTTGGGATCGGCATTATACCCGATTTGCCCGCGCTCATGGTTAAGGTTGGAGCTCGAATAATAATACTTCTGGCAATTATTCTAATGCATGAGCCACCCGCACGTTTAATCATTTACGCTTCAATTGCTTTAGCATTCCGTCATAAATTTCCATGGGGTTAAAAAGATGGAGGGGGTTTCGATGTGGGTGGAGCGGCTATGAGCCAAGTTTACTGGCTTATTTCGGCAGCCGCTGACATTTTTATTATAATTTCGTGCTCGTTTGGGGCGATACTATATGTACGTCTTGGCTCGCCGCAATTTATGGCGCTTTAATTAATTGTTGTTGGGACACTTTTCAGAATAATCAAAATAATTGAACCGCGAAGAATGAACTTTCCTTAAAGGGGGAATTTTATTCGCCACTCCTTTGTAAGATATGTGCATATTATATTATTGATTTATGACTCTAATAAGTATACCTTGTCATCTGACTAAACTTGGTCATTAATCATAATTTAAGGAGACGAGAGTTATTTAAGTTACATCAGCAACAAAATGTAGGTCCTCTTTTTCAATTTGCTTACAATCATATATTTATATTTAAAGCCCCGCTTTAATTTATCCCTATTATTAATTCTAGCTAGTAGTAAAATTATTGTGTCCAATGCAGCTAATTGAATTTCCACCTAAAACCATTGACATAATATACCAACAAAAATCTGTCACTTTCCCAACCACTCCCACGAAAAAACTATGGCAAATTGGCGTCTATTTGTGAGAAATTCGCGTGTCTGAGTCGCAGTGCCCATAACTACAAGTATCTACAAGATTCGTGAGAGCAGATGGAGATTTATTTGATCGTCCAACGCAACGAATTAAATTGCGAGCAAATTATTGCGACTGTTTCCGCTGTGCTTGGCCAAAACGAGAGTAAAAGTGGCCACCAGTGGGGCTTCATCTCTCTGAATGAAATTTGCTGGCCCGATTTGGGAGCCTAGGCTGCAAGTTTGTTTTTTTTTACGCCAACCGGTTGGCGGTTGGCTCTGTTGGCGGGACTCCACTCTGCAACATATGTTGCACATTTGGAGTTGTTGCCGCAGAGGCTTTGGTTACGTGAGAATCGCTCGAGATGAGGCGAGCTCCTTTTGGGCGCGATCAAAAGTGGAAAATCACGTTTTCCTTGGCGCGCAATTTTGTTTACTTTATTGTCAGTGGTTTGTTGTTGTTGCTGCCTGTCGAAACGGTAACAAAACATAAAAAAAGGAAAAACCCAAAAAGAGTTTCTTTCCGTTGCGCAACCATCTCGCCCCCGCAGCCCCTTCACCCACTTTGTGCCCCCTTTTGTAACTTACGCAACCCAAATTGCTCAGTTGACCCCAAAAACCCGAGGTGAACAAAGAATTCTGCAAAATGCTAGAAACAAAGCAATCATAATTCCCCATTGTTCGTGACCTTCGCCTGATCACAGTTCACTTTTTAATTAAAACCCACTTCAATTACGATCACAGTTCGCTCCAAATCTACCAGAGATGATAAATGAAGCAAAGAAAATTCCCATTTTATGTTAATGCTTTATTTTTGCCTGCATTCTGGCCACGAACAAAGAGCTAATGAAGCCCATAGCCTTTCAAATCGATCCACATAGCCGACTCACGTGAATCGTTTTTGTATCTGCTCAGTTGGGTTGGTTCCGATTTGGTGGTTATACCCGTTACTCGTAGAGTAAAAGGGTATACTAGATTCGTTGAAAAGTATGTA